AAAGAAAGTATTTAAAGGTAAAGAATAGTTAACCAAAGCATAAGATGTCTTATTAATGTACAGTATTCGGCTATAAGTAGGTAGGTTGCAGACACCTTTCATGTTTTCGTGCTTTGCGAATTATCGTGAAGGCTATCTACAACATGGTAAACGAAAGCTGATAACGGATTCATCGAATGTGCGAGAGGGTTCCCGAGGACTTATTAACACAGATTTAGCATTATAGTTAAGAAGATTTTCATCTCATAGGAAAGTACACGAAGGTTGATCTCATCAGAAAGCGACTGCTGCCGCTTGGCTTTAGTAAGACGTTCAGGTTGACGCAGTTGACTAGACAACCTCCCTCGTTTCGAGTAAAAACGAGCTGAGTTTTCGTTCAGCATGTGATGGAAATCTTCAGAGCTGTAACTCATTCATGTAAAAGTCTCAAGTTAACGCTAGGTCGGGAAGACTGTCCGGCTTAATCTACCTCTTATATATACGCATAACTAAAAAACGAAAAGGTATAGATACACATAGATATAGAATGGCGGATTATCGTAAAGGCTATGTAGCAAAACTGGCTTCTGAAGAAATCCTTAATAAATTGATGTTAAGGTGATTTGATGAGACGATTGGAAAGGATTCGTAAATTGGCCACTTCACTTTTCAACAGCATGCAGGAAGGCATGGGATATTCAACCAAATGATGAGGCAGACATAGCTAGGTTATAAAAAGTAGGTAGGCTTAGGGCTTGCTACCTTTCTAGTCTTTGTGCTTGGTAAATTATCGTAAAGCACAATGCCCTGCTCTGATGATGTCCGTCAAATGACAATGAAAGCTCAGCAAGGATTCGTCAGAGTTGTAAGGCGGTGCGCCAAGGACCTATTCGCAATCAATCACAATCACAGCTCCCGGTGAGGTGAACCTACGAATCTCTTCCACTCGCTTTATAAAAGGAAATGAAAGCTACTCCAACATCGTAGAGGATGCCTGCCGCCACGTGCTAGACGAAAGCTGAAAATGGATTCATTGGAGTTGAGGGAACGAAGGACGTATCAGCATAGATCTATCACTTTAGCTCGAAGACGATTGATCCTATTTAGGCATCCGGTGACGCCAACTCACGAACCTTTTCCAGTCGCCTCGTTAAACAAACTGTAAGGTTCGTCGACATTAAGGATTATGAATGTCTTCAAGATGAGACATATAGGCCAGGTGTGCAGGTGTAGAGCCTCGGGGAGATTGAGATTGAGCCGTCACAACTCCTGAGCCTAGCTATAGACTATGTAGACATTAAAAAACATTTGAATGCAGGTTAGATAAGACTCTGGGTGTGTCTTGGATGTCACTTTTAAAGTGTTACAATAAAAAGAAACCCACCAAGCTTGTGTGCAGACGTGTTGGATGTCAATGGGGGCGGAAGAGGAGGTGGCGAAAGCGGGTGTGGTGGGTACTGCGGCAGAAAACGAGCCCAATGAGCGCCGGCAGCCGTGGCTAGTGGAAGCTGTTGGGACCTGTCAAGCTGCGCCAATTGGCTGGCGGCGTAGAATCCTGTAGTAGCCGGAGTGGGTGCAGGGAATGCTGGGGCCGGCAGCGAGGCTGATAGGAACGCGCCGACTGGAGGACTGGTCGCCGCTGTGGCCGCATAGTAGGGCGAAGGATGAAAGACAGGAGACAGAGCCAGCCCACCGGGCGGGATATCGGACAGGTGACTCGGGCATGTAGTTGACGGAGCCAGCGTTGGCATCTCAGCAGACCCTGTCAACAGTAAATGCGGTTGGTGGTGGTATCGAAAGGGGCCAGCCGCTGCGGCGGAGGCTGCAGCTGCAGCCGCGGCGGCTGCAACCAGCGCGTGCGGCTGGTAGAGGTAGGCACCGAGCGCAGTGGCTGCCGGTGCCGTTAGTGGGGCCGATGGGGGAAGCGATGATGGCAGCTGGCTCGTGTACAAATGGGGGTAGAAGTAGCCGGCAGGAGGAGCGGCCAGCAGAGGCAGGCCACTCGCAGCACCAGCCAACTGGTAGTCAGGGCTCTGTCCGAGGGGACGGACGGCAGTGGCCTGTTCTCCTGCCTTGTGGTCCGTGTGACCAGCAAGCCAAGTTTGCACCGGTTGCCGACAGGTTCCGGCCATTTGGCTGCTGCCAATGCTGTTGCAACAATTGGCTGCACTCATTGGTGTCTTGCAATTTGGATCATTGCGGGCTAAGCCGACACTTTGGGCGTTTGTCAGTTTCCCTTCGTTACTACCAGATCTCCTCAACATCCTGGTGTTGGCTCCTTCCAAGAGGTCGCCGTCAATCGGTTTTCGGTCCTCACGCTCTATCGTCCCACCCTCGCCTCCTTTATCCGGCGCCAATCGGGACTCTGCTAATTCGTCTTTCGTTGCGCACGCATGTTGGTGTCCAACTTCACTAGCAGGCGCTGCTGTCGTCCTCCAGGGATGCCCGTGTTCAGATGGCACCAACGGGTAGAGTGCGGGGCCTAGGCTGGGCGGGTAGAAGCTAGGGGCAAACGGAACCGAGGCAGAATGTGCGGAGAACGGGTTGAATGCCTCCAGACCGGGCCAGTAGATGGCTCCAAATGGCCCGGAGATGGAGTAGCCGGCATGCGAGGCACCGGAGAGCCCACTGATGGGT